ATTTATGCTAAATAGCTTGGACTATTGTTAGATTAGACAGCTTTTCCAGACAAGTAGCTTTTGCTTCCATTTCGCCATTTGGATTTCAATTTGCTACAATTTAAAATTTTGTTATAAAAAAAACTTGCATATGTGTTTAGGGTATGGACGCTATTTAATTTAACACTATATGGTGACAATTATAATGGCTAATATATTGAAAAGTCAGTGGAACTTTAACTATTGGTCAAGTGGTTATTTTTGGTTTATATAATTATAAGGGGAAAAAAGCAAACGTATTATTCCTTATTATATTTCAGAACTTAATGTGACGGAAGGAGCTAGTGTTATACTTGGATGTGAAATGTGTCAAGCTATACAAAAACAAAACTTCACAGTCAAATGGTCATGGAGGAAAAGATCAACAGAAACAGAAATAGCATCAATGGACTTATCAAAGACTTTGAAAATCGCTGATACTTATACACACAGGCTAGAGCAAAACAGTGGAAAATATAGCTTTAATATAATGCACCTGACGGATAGTGGGGAATATTTGTGTACGATCATACAGACAAACGGGGTGCATATTAATATGACATCCCTCACTGTCTCTCACATTACGAGTCCAGGTAAGTCTGTCCAATAGTAGTAAGTAATTATTTAGAAATAAAGTTACCTCTGCACTATCCCAATTCCCAATGTTCGTTTTAATAACAGTTAATTTTATTATCACTAGCAGAGGCATAACTAGGAATCGCAGAGCCCCGATGCAAGAATCACAGAAGGGCCCCCATACGCTCTCACTGATACACATTCATTGACATACACTCACTGACACACAGTCATTGATATACACACACTGTTTAACCAACACACATTTTCAGTGACAGAAACACACACTAACTGACAGACAAACACACTTATTTGACACACATTGACAGAAACACATACTCACCAACACTCATTGATTTGACAACACTGACAGACACACTTTTACTGAAGGAAAAACACTATCATTGACAGTGACTGACAGACACATACTCTCACTGATTTGACACACACTAACTGACAGACACACAGTCCAATTGACAAAAACATTCACTGACAGACACATACTCTCACTGATTTGACACACACTGACAGACACACACTAACTGACAGACACACAGACTAATTGACAAACACATTCACTGACAAATACATACTCTCTCTGACTTGACACACACTGACAAACACACACACTCACTGGCAGACACACATACACACATACTTATTGACAGACACACACTCTGATTTGAAATAGACACACTCACTGTGGCCATGGTAGTCCTGCCACTGGCCTCTACTAAATAGAAGTCTGAAATCTATTTTTATCCTCCTAAAGTCACAAAACGCTTGACAGCTCATATTTGATTAAAAGTTAAAATCAAGTACTTTGAATGAATTCTCTCAACACTAATGAGAGAACTTTCCCCATTACTCTAATTACAGGGGGGCTGCCCTACTAATACATTACCTACACATCGTGGTCCTATACAGGCACTTGGGAAATCCAAATCTTTTCAAATGCCCGTGTTTACAATAAAAGGTTACAGTCACCAGACCAAAGAATGCCTGTACCCTGCCACTTCACGCACCAAATTACACAGATTACAATAAAACCTGTCTCTCACTATGCAAAAAAAATATCTCCCTATCTAAAACAAGGTGGGTAAAGATTAGACCAATAAGCTTTTGTAGAACTGCAACTCACATGAAGCTTTGACATCCTTCATGGAAGCATCAGAAAGTTGCAGCTCTGCAATAGCTGGAATACCCTGTCCAAAAGTAGCCCTTGTAATGAACACAGTACAGGGATTAGAGGTAGCACAGTATTGCAGTGTGTTATTGTTGTATACACTTCATGCAGCCCATATACAGGCTACAAAACACTCCTGGCTCTCTAACTTTCATGGGATTCTACCAAAATAAGAAGAGTAAACTAAGATAAAGCTGTCTGACCCCAGACCATTGCCTCAGTAACCATTAGACAGAGAATTTCTAATTAATCTACAGGGACACCAGGTATGACCACAGTAAAACACTGAGATAACTCAATAAAAGGGCACTTTTAAGGTCCCCACAGTCTGAAGTGTGCCTTGTCCTCGTTCCCTGTCCCTCTGCCCAGGGTAGGGGAGACGTACATTAATGAAGTCACTTATTGCCAGCCCGGGGCCCTACACCTGCACTTTAAGCCTTCCTAGTCTGATTTCACCTGCTGTCAGTGCCCCCAGGCTGCAGGGATATCAGAATATGTATCAGCAGGGCTCCAGGGCGGTCAGGCCCCCTGGAGTGAAAGACCCGGTCACAACTGCGACCCCTGCTTCCACGGTAGTTCCGCCAGTGATCACTAGAATTGTCAGTAAATTGCTTTCCTGTCTCAATTTTATTTTAATCAGTGAGTTACATGAACACCTGACTTAAACAAGATATAGTGTAGCTTGGACGCGGGACGCCTCCTCACTGTGGTGCGTCATCACTGACACCATAGAGAGGACTCCTGTGAGGGCTTTCTGACAGTAAACTTCTATTAAGCATTAAGGCTTGGTCATTTATTTTGCATTTACTCTATGACTTTTTTTTTTCCTGAAGTGTTTTTTCTTTGCCCATGAAAGGAGCTTAGGTTATAGAGTCAGCAATAGGCCCTTTTAGGAACCATCATTGTACCCGAGACCGTGATGCACTGGATCCCCTTATACTTTCTTCTGCATCTGGTTTCTATCTTGTACAACTATGCCGATTCTGCACAATGTTATGTTGTTATACTTTCTTTTTGTACCTATTACAATATAAATAAAAAAAATATTTTTTAATTGATTTCCTGCCAACGCCAAGACAGTCATATCTGTTATTTAAATATGCAGTGGGATTTGGGATATTGTGCAGGCAAGATGACGAGTACAACAGTCATTGCAGCTGTGAACGAGTATTTGGAGTTTTAGTGCTATGTGCCTTTGTTATTTTATATGTGCTAGTAAGGCTAATTGATTATTTAGGTATCAGAAAGGTCCATTCCTACTTCAAATAGAAAAAAAATGTATTTTTATGGAACAATAATGCACTGTAAGGAATTTAAAAGAACTATCAGGCCATATAGGGAAATAAAAGCTGACAACCCCCCTGTCATCCCCCTCTGACAAAATATTAAATGTAGATTTATATCTCTTCTGGAGAAATATTTCTAAACCCATGCCTTTCCTTTTCTAATTTCTGTCTTGAAACTCTGCTAAACTTGTTATATCTCCCCTGTTCACGGTGCTCCGTGGAATGCTAATTTTATCTGTAACAAATCAGTTGAATGAACATATAGTCATAAAATTAAATTCCAGTGTTGTCATTCAAACTCTAAGTACCACCCTTTCTGAAGGTCACAACTCTTTTCTTCCGTACTGTTTGCCCAGAGACAGCGAAATCACCACATGGACACACCAGCGGCGTTCTAGAGCATAACCCAAAAATTGAAAGCTAGAAATAGAGCGCATAATCCAAAACAATGTGAGCATGCTTTTTGGTTAGATAGAAATAATAATGGCAATGGACCAAGTACATAACCCCCAAACTATAAATCAATAGGTAAAAGCAAATAGATAATAAGAAAAAATATATATATATCGAAACTAAACCAATCTCATAAAGGGACACTCTAGTCACCGTAACTGTGGTTATAGTGTCTGGAGAGCCATGGCACCATGTCCTTTCTGTGCGAGTAATGAGGAAGCTTTAGCCTAAATATTGCTAATAATAGCACAATAGTTACTACTACTTTAAAACTATGTTTACTGTGATTTTATTGGAAAATATGTTAGCCCATTTATTTATGTCAATGTCCATATTTTTATTTTCAGGACACAAAGCTTTAATTATTCCTTTAGCATTTATCGTTGTGTGTGCTGTAGCAGGACTAACTTACTACAAATGTAAAACATGATCTGAAAGACAAGGAAGGTTTCATCCAACATACTAAAAGGCACAGAACAATAATGAGCAACAGAACTTATTTAGAATGGAAAGAAAGAGAAGTGATACATCTGACATGGCACACCTCTTCAACAGAAATTTGTTTTTGAGATATTGCGATATTTTTGTGAAAGCCTGTGACACTTTCATTTAAGAATAAACCATTCCCTTCCCACTTATCTTAAAACGACATTGATTGAACCAGATTGCATGTGACATTAAACACAATTTTTGGATTTTATTTGCTGAAGATTAAATTCTTCAGTCATCAACACTCACTTTTTCATGTGTAAGTAAACAAATATATAGAACTGGTGACACAAATACATTTATCTGTGGGGGCAGCAAATAAATACTAAGAAAAATTTGCTCAGGGTTAATTTTCTACCTCAATTCAATGTAAAAAATTTACTTTTTACTAAGGAATCTCCAACACAACAATAATATATGAAGAAAATTAATATTGTTTACTTACAACTGATGCACAAACAAATACAGCTTCATAACCTCTATTAATCAATCATTTATAAATTACTGATGTAAAACATTAACTTTGACAGGTAGAAACAGTAGGTTTTGAAGCCTATGCCTACAAGCTCACATTTTAAATCAAAATAATTCATAAATAATAATCACTTCTTACATTATACTTTCAAACATATTTATTTTGAGCCATTTTTTTTTCTTACCCATTTTGTACTACATATGTGCATTCGGTTTCAAATGAATTGCAATTTGTAGAATTGGTGGGTCGTCCAAATGCTGTAACTCTGAATTGCCATGTGATCAAATGACGAAACAATTGAAACAGACAATGGGCAGACAGTTTCATTTCATTTGTGATTCAGAGTTTTGTTCATGGTGCCAAATAAGAGATGACTGATGGGAAAATAATGATTGAAAATTAAACAGATAGATACTAAATGTTGATTTGATTTCCAGATCAACTGAGAAATATCAATAGACAGAAAAAAAAATATAACAAATATATATATATATATATATATATATATATAAACATATTTATAAATTGTATCATTTGTTAGTTACTTCTCATTTGAGTTGTGAACTACTGTTCCCTGTATACTGTGAAATACTTTTTTTTGTAGAGTATTTGTGGTTATTTATATAAGGAGGTAGTTAATAGTAATATAGCATGAAAAAAGACTCAAGTCCATGAACGTCAGCCTTTAACATAACTGTATTGCCCAAAAAGCAGGTGAAAACCCCAATTTTAAGCGATTTTCATATTAGGGAAAATAATTCCTTTTTTTACTCCATTGACTCCAAAATGACAGTCAGAATTGTTAAAGCAGTTGGGGTTGATATGTAATGTTTAAGTATGTGGACAATGACAATTTTATGTGTTTATTTTTTTACATTATTAAAGGTGTGCTAACGTTTCTCAAACTAAAGTGTCTTAGTCTTTTTGGGAGGTTTTGGATAATGTAAAGCATATGCCAAGAAGGCAAGTATGCATATGTCAATTGATGTGAAAAACACAATTGAAACCTATACAGGAGCATTGGCTATCAGACCAAGCGTCATCCCCATCTATGGACCCCAATGGTAGTTAATACCCACTTGTTTTGTTTACATGGTCACGATATCTATGTGCTTTGCCCTTCATTTCGTTCTCCTGCTTGTCCCGGAGGACAGATTTCGACAGTAATTGTTATGTAGACTGTTACCCTCTTGTATTCAATGTTACTTGAAAAATCAAAAATAAAGAATAAATATGTATTTTTGCATAATCAGATTTTTAAATAAAATGTTTAAAGGGATAGTCTAACCAACATAGCCACTACAACTCAGAGTAGTGTATATGCAACTAGACATATATGGATGCTACCTCTTGTTTTCTTTGTCAAAGTTACTAACCAACAAAGCCACTACAACTCAACTACTAACCAACATAGCCACTACAAATTAACGTAGTGTAGCACCTGCTGCATTCTTTGAAGAAAAAAAAAGAAGCAAATGGAGAACCTGTATATTCTCACCAAAGCAGTTCTCACGGAATTTACAGTTGCAAGAAAAAGTATGTGAACCCTTTGGAATGATATGGATTTCTGCACAAATTGGTCATAAAATGTGATTTGATCATCATCTTAGTCACAACAATAGACAATCCCATCTGCTTAAACTAATAACACACAAAGAATGAAATGTTGCCATGTTTTTATTGAACACACCATGTAAACATTCACAGTGCAGGTGGAAAATGTATGTGAACCCTTGGATTTAATAACTGGTTGAACCTCCTTTGGCAGCAATAGCTTCAACCAAACATTTCCTGTAGTTGCAGATCAGACGTGCACAACGGTCAGGAGTAATTCTTGACCATTCCTCTTTACAGAACTGTTTCAGTTCAGTAATATTCTTGGTATGTCTGGTGTGAATCGCTTTCTTGAGGTCATGCCACAGCATCTCAATCGGGTTGAGGTCAGGACTCTGACTGGGCCACTTCAGAAGGCATATTTTCTTCTGTTTAAGCCATTCTGTTGTTGATTTACTTCTATGCTTTGGGTCATTGTCCTGTTGCAACATCCATCTTCTGTTGAGTTTCAGCTGGTAGACAGATGGCCTTAAGTTCTCGTGCAAAATGTCATGATAAACTTGGGAATTCATTTTTCCTTCGATGAAAGCAATCCGTCCAGACCCTGACACAGCAAAGCAGCCCCAAACCATGATGCCCCCACCACCATACTTTACAGTTGGGATGAGGTTTTGATGTTGGTGTGCTGTGCCTTTTTTTCGCCACACATAGTGTTGTGTGTTTCTTCCAAACAACTCAACTTTGGTTTCATCTGGTTTCAAATATTTTGTCAGTACTGCTGTGGAACATCCAGGTGCTCTTGTGCAAACTGTAAACGTGGAGCAATGTTTTGTTTGGACAGCAGTGGCTTCCTCTGTGGTATCCTCCCATGAAATCCATTCTTGTTTAGTGTTTTACGTATTGTAGATTCGCTAACAGAGACGTTAGCATTTGCCAGTGACTTTTCTAAGTCTTTAGCAGACACTCTAGGATTCTTCTTCGCCTCATTGAGCAGTCTGCGCTGTGCTCTTGCAGTCATCTTTACAGGACGGCCACTCCTTGGGAGAGTAGCAGCAGTGCTGAACTTTCTCCATCAATAGAAAATTTGTCTTACCGTGAACAGCAAGGCTTTTGGAGATACTTTTATAACCCTTTCCAGCTTTATGCAAGTCAACAATTCTTAATCGTAGGTCTTCTGAGAGCTCTTTTGTGCGAGGCATCATTCACATCAGGCAATGCGTCTTGTGAAAAGCAAACCCAGAACTGGTGTGTGTTTATTATAGGGCAGGGCAGCTGTAACCAACACCTCCAATCTCATCTCATTGATTGGACTCCAGTTGGTTGACATCTCACTCCAATTAGCTCTTGGAGATGTCATTAGTCTAGGGGTTCACATACTTTTTCCATCTGCACTGTGAATGTTTACATGGTGTGTTCAATAAAAACATGGCAACATTTCATTCTTTGTGTGTTATTAGTTTAAGTGGACTGTGATTGTCTATTGTTGTGACTTAGATGATGATCAGATCACATTTTATGACCAATTTGTGCAGAAATCCATATCATTCCAAAGGGTTCACATACTTTTTCTTGCAACTGTATGTCAATTTGTTTTGGAAGCATAGCATTGTCCAATATGCCTTGGGATGCTGAAGCATTAAGATTTCCCTTCACTGATAGTAAGGAGTCTAGCCCAACCCCTGAACAACCACACCATACCATTGTCCCTCCTCCACCAAAATTTACAGTTGGCACAATGCAGACAGGCAGGTAACATTCTTCTGACATCCACCAAACCCAGACTCGCCCATCAGACTGCTGAACAGAGAAACGTGATTATTCATGCCACTGATCACTTTCCACTGCTCCAGAGTCCAGTGTCGATGTGCTTTACACCATTTGATCCTATGCTTGGCATTGTACTTGGTTATGTGAGGCTTGCATGCAGTTGCTCAGCCATGGAAACTCATTGTTTCCATTCTGATAGTAATTCAGGTGGAAGTTTGGAAAAGGTAATAAAAGGAAGAGACAGCGCTGGTCAACTTACAGGCAGCAACCTTTAAAAGGGAAACCCTCCAAACCCTTTGAAACAAGACAAAATAAAAACAACAATAAAAAAGGCTGCGCCACAGAATAATAAAAAAATATAATAAGTCCAAAATTAAAAGAAAGTCCAACTTATGTGTCCTTGCGAGTGGTCTTTAAAACAAATAGTGCAGAGGTGAAGTCTTCATAAACTGTCGTGGTTCCACTTATATGGAAGACAAAAAGAGAAGGACAACCAATAGTGCAGTATGTATAGTTCTAATATGGACGTGATAGAAAATAATGGTAGAGAACTCACATTTAAAAGGGCTTATGTCCAGCTCTAGGGTAAAAGCGTGTACAGCGGTATGATCCCCGCTTATGGGATATGTGGTGGGTAACTCTCCGTCACTGGTGTCCAACTCTCACAAATGAAAAGAGAGACAGCCAATAGTGCTCAATGTATAATAGTCTCAATATGAATAAATGAAATCGTACTTACAAATGGAGAGCAGACCGACTGCTCTTTTGTATCAGCGTAGGTGGATTAATCCCCACCTAGGGATTTCTTGGGGTACAGGAGACTTCCAGAGTTTGGAACCCTTCATCTATGGAATCACATTCGCCTCACTACTTGGTGACCCTGCTCTGTGACTCTATGTGTTCTTTCTCTTCGTGGCTAAGTTTCCTAAATGCTTCCCTTTTCCAATAATATCACTTACATTTCACCGTGGATGAAATTTTACTAACTGACTTATTGCAAAGGTGGCATTCTATCACAGTACCACGCTTGAATTCACTGAGCTCTTCAGAACGACTCATGTTTTTCACAAATGTTTGTAAATGCAGACTGCATGGCTAGGTGCTTGATTTTATACACTTGTGGCAATGGGTTTGATTGAAACTCCTGAATTCATTAATTAAGAGGAAAAACATTGCAGGTTTTTCCTAATTGTTAGAATGTATGGGCTCTTCTCTTGATTGCATCCTTAAGAGACGATGTTGTGTTGAGCCATTCAGAGATCATAAATTGCAGAACATTTAAAGGTTTAGCTAAGGTATCTACTTAAACTGTTGAGTGGTTTTAATACTTACAAAAACAGAAAAAAAACTAAGCAACCTACTTGATGTTCTTCACCCCCTAGAAACACTACAAAGTTATTAAACATCTGTCACTTTTGCTAAGATGCCCATCTAAGGCCTCAACTAAGTTAGAGTTGATCATCTTTATCGGGAGTTTATCGGCTTCTGATAAGCCATTTATTGGTTTGGATTGATTACATTAACACTGTTGAAGCATTATCAGGACCTAATACCAATGAGTTCCAAATATTGAATTCAAGACATATACTTGAGATTAAAAATATTGACTTCAGCAATTCAATTCCATTTATTTGGTGCAAAATGACTGATAAGTAGGTTTCTATGATTTGAGAGCTAAAAGCTTTTGATAAATTAGCTTAGAGACCTGAGCTTATAATGTAAATGTTGCAAGATCTATTTCTGTATGGTGATTTTCTTGCTCAGTCTTGCTTCTAATTTTAGTTCTTTACTTTTCCACAAGAGTATTGTAATTGACAAGTTTATATTGCAAGTCCGTATATGTATACGAGCTTAAAACACAATGTGAATGCCCTTATTCAAATATGAACAAACTATGGCATGTAACAATGGCATTATGTTAATATTTTTGGATAAGCTTTTCAAATGATTTAGTAACTTGATAAATATTTTTATATGTTGATATATTATTGTATATATTTTTCTTGATATTTAAATAAAATATTTTTTTAAATTATTGAAAAATATTAAATAATTTGAAAATCTTATCCAAAAAGTATTCAATCAAGGCCAATATTTGGTTTTGTCCAATCAAACAAAAACGTAATTAAAATTAATACATAAATAAATAAATAAAAATATCCGCATAAGGAAGTGTACCATAATTGCCAGGATGAAAACAAAAAACAACATATGGGTCGCTCTGCCCTCAACGGAAACAGGACAGGAAACAATCAACCGATTAGAAAAAGATTGTAGGAATAAAAGGATCACTCATTTTACCCCAGAGTCTGTCTTTTCTGTTCTCACAGGTCAAACAGGAATCTTCCTTTTTTTTTTGTGTACCATGGGCTTAGAAGATGAAGTTCAGTCTTGTTCATCTCAAGAACTCCATAATCAGCCTGCAGGAGCAGGACTAACTGAGTTAAGAACAAATGTTATCAGTACTGCACTGTTGGATCTAGACATTTATCAGTATTCTCATATTGGATGATTTAGCATTTTTATGCATGATGTGGAGTCGGCTGTTGCCTTAAAATTCCCATTACTCTATCAATATCAACCCCCCCACCCCCCTTTTTTTTTTTTTTTGTGAATATGATTTTTATTCATTTTGTGTATTTAAATTTGCGGTGAGACGCGCAGGTCTCCATTGCATGTTATTATAAAAGGTAACAAATTAGGCTCGCAGGCCCCATCACAGAAGGACTCGCAGGTCCCCTTTTGATCCTGTTGGCAGAGTATTAGGAGAAGCCAGGGTAAGTTTCTATCGTAAAATCCTTTCTGTTTGCTTTCCATTTTTTCTCTTTACTTAACTTTCACTTATTTCTATAG